TAGCATTAACTTCAGCATTAACTTTACGATGTTTCTGACAACGGGCCCATGGTCCTGTGTAACTGTAGCAGTTACTTTTATTGAACATGTTGAAAACCTCAAATATGGTATGATCAATGGCCAAATAGATTCAGGGCCTGGGCGAGCAATTTACCAGGATTTGTTTGGCTTGAGAATGCATGTAACATTGAGACTGCATCGCAAAGTGAATGGATCGTACAGATTGTACACATTTATGGTCATTCAGTTTAAATTTCTCTATTTAATTTTGTCTGTGTTTGTCGTTTATGTGTAGGAGGAGATGGAGCAACGGAGGGTGCATGACATCAAGAACTATTGGCTGATCCAATATCAGAGACTAATGGATAGAAAGCCACAGGAGCTGATAGATACAGTAAGCAAGCAATATTTTAATGCATACCATTTTAATTGCATTCTCATGACGTAGTAAATTATATCAGTGTTTTTTCCCACAGGAGACAAGGTTGGAATATGCTGTACGAGAAGTTCTGGATATGGCAGGAGCATTGGAATTCATTCCGTTCTTTGCCAATCGCATCACCATAGAAACGCTTTACCAAATGACGGATGCTGACCTGAGTCGGGTGAGCTTATTGCTAAAACTCTGACCCAAGTCTTGCGAGTCAATATGCCTGAACCTGTCACGTTCCTTGAACATCTAGTCTACTCAGCGTTTTGCTGAATACATTTTCCAATTATCAGATGGGAATACGACAAGCTGAGGTGAGAACTGCGATTCTGAGGGCAGCTTCAGACCACAGGAGAGCGCAGGCAAAGTCCCACGAGAAAGCACAGGCTCTGGATGATGATGCTGTAAAGGAACCACCGCACGCAGCCTCGGCTCCACCTGCTTCCTACTTGGACTTAACCGGACCATCAGAAAATGCTGCAAGCAAGCTGCCCCCCGGTCATGTGTTGCCACCTACCGACGACTCTGGAAACATCATCGCTCGCATTCATGCTGAGTGTGTTGTCTGCATGGATCAAGAGGTTCGTAGATAATTAATCATATAGGGCATATACATAATTTATCATCTTTACCGCTCTCTATAAAAATGATCGCAACAGCACACTCAAAGAAATTCACCAACGTAGCTGGGGTGATGGTTCCGGTGTAATGGCATGTGAATCCAAACGTTTATGATGATATTTGCTTATAATACGAGCTAATTTCTTTTGCAGTGTATGGTACTGTTCCTAATGTGTGGTCATGTGTGCTGCTGTAATGACTGCGCCGGCTCATTGAAGCTCTGCCCGATGTGTCGCGCAGTAATCGAACAGCGTATACAACTCACCCATGTGTAGGAGTGCCACTGCAAGTTTTACAACTATACTACTGGCCTTCTATCCAAAGCCATCACTGGATGCCTCTTATGGAACTACCACTGGACGTTACCTAAATACGTATTGAAACAGTTGTCATCTTATATATTGACAATGTAGCTTTAACATATATACCTGTTGGTAATCCCCAAAGTGTTTGGACCTGCAATACTACTACTAGTATAAAAATCGAAGGTTTTTATTGCATCCACTATTGTTATCCATTACCAAGTTCAACGTACATATTTTAAAAATGTGTGATGATGCCTTTAATGTTAGATATTAGTTTGTCTGTTCTAACTGTCTAAACTAAATGTGGAAAGTTATGAATGGGTGAAAGTCAAGCAAATCAAGTCACTATTCATAATTATAAATAAATGTTAATATTTATATGGAATTTATTAATATTGTTGTTTACCCTGTATATGATTTTGAATAATTCTAGATTAGTAGTTTTGATCAAATAATTTATCAATGTGTACAACTGGTTTTGATAGGTGAAAGCACTGCAGAGATATGGGAGCTGAGATTGTAGGATCTAAATAGTTGTATTGAAATATATCCTATTTTTAACGTACCTTCACAACAGTTTCGATCACTGTCAGCGATCTTTATCAAGTGACCTACGTCATCATATGTGGCAGTCGATGACGTAGTATCCGCGTGACGTCACAGGATCTTCGGGGCCCCCGTCACAGGTGTTCTGGCTTTGGGCTTCAGGAGGTTGTCGTATACGTGAGAGTTTGTAGGCCCCTTCGTCTGTTCATATTAGATGGGGACTCTCTAATTTGAATCGCCTCTTTGATCTGACGGTCTGTGAGAACTGCTTATTTGCTGAGGACTCTGGCGTCCATCCAATTCGGAACGTGATTATTGTCAACCACATATGGTCCGTAATCGCTGATTTGTGTACTTCCCCTGTGGTAGAGGAGCGTGAAGCCCTGGTACGAATGGTGTTGGCGGCAGACGCCTCCACGTCCTTTTCGTGTTCTGACAGGCGGGTGCCGAACTTGCGACCGGTTTCCCCTATATAAACACTGGGGCAGTTCGAACAGCTAATCTCATAGACACATCCACAAGTGTCATCGCGTTCTATTCTGTCCTTCGGATGTACTAGAAGATTTCTGACTGTAAGGTGGGGTATGAACGATGCGCCTACCCTGTGCATACTACGTCATCGACTGCCACCTATGATGACGTAGGTCACTTGATAAAGATCGCTGGCAGTGATCGAAACTGTTGTGAAGGTACGTTAAAAATAGGATATATTTCAATATGAACCAGTTTACAGTTATCAACTAAATATCCGATGAATTTATTTCAATCTCTAAATAGATGTAAATTTGTTAAACCTGCTCTGCAAAGTTAAAACCATGGAGATTGTGCTTAACAATAAATTCCCACCGTTTTTCTGTGCATTTTTAGTACTACATCTACTGTGCTGTTTTGTAGATTGTGGTTGCATGAAATTTATGCTAAATCAACTGTGTACCCTAGTGAGCATACTTACAAACTTGCATGACATTACAGATGTCTTTGCAGAGTAAACACTATGGTGAGGAATAATGATAGTTGATTTCAAGTTCTGACAAGATATGAATGAAAATCCGAAATAGGTCTAAATATTGCAAGAATGTATGATGTACCTTCTCTAAAATAAAACGTTTTTGCCATTAAGAGATTTTCCTCTTGCTTAGTCGCTGCTGTTTATCTTGAATAAAAGTATAGCTTTTAGTATTAATTTCTGGGTGATGTGCAAAATAAGAAATTATACCACCTCCTTGTTCAATATGTCCAAAATAAATTGACCATTTTGTATTCAAACCATATATTTTTCCCCTTAACATGCTTACATGAATACACAGTCAAATTGTAATCAATTTGTACCATCTTGGTACAATAATATATGAACTGGAGATATTTTGTTACCACATGTCTAACTAATGATAAGGTTCACTTTAATAGCACTAGCAGAGAACCGTGCATGCACTCACACAAGCATGCATACATTACATAATACTTTAATAACATTGTCTGTTGTTATATACATTTGATGTACTTACTGCTTTACATAATTAACAGATGTCAACAAGGAGTAGGAAAGATTCATATGAAAGGATGTGATTAGTTGAAATGGACCCATTAAACACAAAAACCTGTCGCTTCTAGCAACATACACTGTTGAAAAGATAAATATAATGCAACAAAGACCTGAAAGTTGCAAATGGGTGAGATTTGCATGTTGTTCTAATATTTACGCATGAGCAGCCCCCAACAAATGTATGCTATATATACAATTTCTATCCCAGTATACACGACAGATATTGCTTTGTTTATATAACCATGCTCATTGGTACAACAGCGCACTGACAGAGTACTAGCAATAGTAACATTTAATCTATAAAAATTTGTTATGACAAGCAATATCAACATCTTGATAATATTGAAGGAGAGTCACTGTGATGGTCATGTGCAACAACCATAGTTTCCCTAACTCTAGCTCTCTGCCTCCTCATCTTCTCCATTCATCCCATCTTCAAGATCAATAGGGATAGGGTCATCACTTGTTCCTGCATGCGGATCAATAATCTGTTCTTCCTGGTCTATATATTCAATGTCACCATTTTCTTCTACACCTTCCTCTTCAATTTCTTCAATCTCAGGACTACTATCGTCAATGACTTCTTCAATGTCTTCATCCAGACATGCTTCTAATCGTGCACTGCTGCTCTCCTCCTCTTCCTCTTCCTCTCTCCTCTTTTTTTTATGAGCTGCACTTTCTTTCTTGCTTTTTTGGTCTCGCTTGTGGGCTGCAAAAAGCAGAACATTCTTAGACATCGTTGTTTGGTTAACTCAGCTGAGGATTCTATAGTGGTAACAACCACTCATAATTAAGGATATTACTGATTTGCAACTGCATTGTAATTATAATTGTTGATGACAGAAGCAGCTCTCAGTTATGTGAGAATCTTGGTGTTGTAAATGGCTCACACAAGCATGAACTGAACATATTAAGTTTTTTTTACAACACTGTTGCTTTTGAGTTGAATACAAGTTGATATTATCTATCTACCATTATACATTTCTAACTTAAAATAATATTAATAATGACACGACTTACCCTCTAATGTTGTTTTCAGTTCTGGAATAAAGTGATCAAATTCCATCTCGTCCAGGGCACTGAAGACATCTTGACCAGTTAATGTCTTTCTTTTTGATTTCAATGCATTATTATTAGCGCTGAAATAGAATATGACCAATTAGATATATTCTGATGATTGTTAATTTTAAAATCAAGCCTAAAAATATGTCAGCTCTACATGTTGTAGTATAAATTTATTCTTTATGTGGTTGACATTAAAAAATACTAGCTGCCGTGCAGAGCATACATATACAATTATTAAATTACACAATTATCCATGAATTATTCAAGTAGGAAATCTTTTTTGCCAAGCACTATATATATACACTTTTTAGGATCGTTTTACTCATTAAATTCTTTTAATTTCCTTGAACAAATTTGTACTTATTCTGTCTTTACCATGAGGTACAATACAACACAAAAATGCTAGCTGCCTTTCCAAGTGCCTGCTTGGCTTCCTTTGAAACATTTATTCCATCTGGAAGCTGGAATATAACAAAACAACTGGTTAAGACATGAATTAGAGATGCGAACGTTGCTTGACATGTCATGGCTACATAACACCAGGGGTTAATAATAACAAATTTGTCATTACTAACCATTCATTACTACCAAACAAGAACTGCTAGTTTCCCGTACCTACCATTAAAAGGCTGGTAATAGCCATTTGCATTGCAGCTCATGCTTTACCAGCCAAACTTCACAAGTATTCAATGATATGAATTTGTTTACTCTGGATTCCATTCCCTTAGTTCTGACCACCTGTAGCGCCATATCGTAATCCTATATAAATATAGAGAAATTTAAGAGTTCTGATGAATTCTAATAATATAAAAAATCTCCAAAGTTCATCTAGTTCTTTTTTGTTCACTCATTAATAATAATTTGACAAATTATAACAATATTTTGATATAACATAATACATTGAATAGGGTTGCCATTATAAAAAATGGTTGTGTAATCCTGCAACAGAGAATAAAGTGAGAAATTGTTCTTGCATAGTTACTTCATCTGACACTGTTCGATGCAGTTTGTAAAATCACACGAGTTTCCGTCCGGCCCTCGATCTGTCCGTTCATCAACAATTTTGGCACAAAGCCGAACGGCTTGACACATGGTGTTTATATTTAGGACATGGTGGCCACTATATAACACCCACCGGTACTTACCCCATCAAGAGAGGCAATTAAGTGGACATGTAAAATTTTAATGAGTGAACAAAAAAGAACTAGATGAACTTTGGAGATTTTTTTATATTATCAGAATTCATTAGAACTCTTAAATTTCTATAAATAGTCTATCTAAATATATATGATTACGATAAGCCTAAGGATACGGGTAGTGATTTTCCGCTTGTTTTAAAGGTCAGAAATAAGGTGTTGTATCTCTCTTATAGTACATCAATTAGAGAAGATATCTTTATCTCACATCACTCTTACTCCAATAAATTAGAGGACGCAGATATGTGAAACTCAACCACCACTTTTATTCCTCGAATCCGGAGTCCCTCTCCACTCGGCAAAACAATCCATGAACAATAGAACATTACATCTCTTCTTTTCTTTAAAGGAACACAATAACCTGGAGCAATAAACCCTTTGGCATATAACATACAATGTCCGAACTAAATTCAAACTTATTCCTGTAACACAACTGTGGAACAACTAATCTCAAGACATTGTATCTCCAACACAATAGAAACGCAATTCTACTCCATTACATAGTCAGAGTACTTAGCAGGTACTATCGTTTGCCTGTGGGATCTACGATACTGGGTTGTCAAAGAAGATTGTGGCATCTGAGACATATCTTCAGATGAACCCTGAACATCTGGATCTATAACCAGATGAGACGGGATACTAGAGAAGCGTTGCTGAAAGGAGATGTTGATCCCAATTGCGCTGAAGCGCAATCTTTTTTCGGCGCAGTGCTCCGGCGCAAGCGCTGCAACGCGACCGCGGGAACGTCCTACGACAGTATGCCAGCGCTGGCAGCTATGGATCCGTGCGGCCGAATGAATTGGCGCGCGCACGGATCCATAGCTGCAGCGAACAGTCCGCAATTTTGTGGGGACCAGCAGAGGGTAGACATTGGACGTCACAGTGTTGACTTGCTATAAAAACTGTAACATCGAGTAATCTGTTCGTAACCGGAGCTGTGTGACGCGAAATCAGAGAAAAGACTGTCGAAATCCTGACATTCGCGACCTTGCCCAGTAATGCAAACGGCTGTCAGAATCACGAAACACCTACCGGCGCTCTTCGCGCCCAACGCTGCAACGTTTTTGCAACGTTCCAATGCGAGGCTCGTACGGGAGGTGAAAGGCAGTGCGGCCTGCCCGCCGCCTATAGGCCCATAGACTGGCACTCTCTCGCACCTCTCGGCTTAGCTTAGTCACTCAATGGCTAATCGAGGTGGGAGCGAGTCCTAGTCTATATATAGCCTTTGCACCTCGCAACCTTCTTGAAAGAGTAGGCCTATACTAAAAACATGAACAATTTCGTAGTAAATAGATTTCGTATTTAGTTAGCATTATATTTTAATTGAAACGCTTCCAAGTGCCTGTGTCTAGTATAGCCTAGGGGTATTCTAACCCTAGCAAAGAGCGTTTCTTGCTAGTCGTATAGTAGTCTAGTAGTACTAGTGGTTCAAGGATACGAGAACATGGCTCCCAATATTATATGGGCCCAATGTATGTATGGCATGGCCAATAAAACCAATGTCTATTTACATCAATCAAAAAATATAATATTATATCATATAATAGGTTAGGGTTATGGTTAGGGTTCCGTCAGACGCTCCTAGTACTATAGCCGCTTACATTAACTGCCGCTGGCAGACGACCGCTTCGACCGCGCAAGATTAACCGCCAGGCGCAGTTAATGTAAGCGGCTATAGTACTAGAGCTAGGTTCGTCATTATTAGTAAGTTAGTTAATACTAGTAACAGAGTTAGCATTATTACTATTACTATTAGCTTTCCTGCGGTCTCTGGTAGTTACTAGTACTAGTACTAGTAGTGCTGGTAAACTTAGTAGTACTACTACTAGTAGTGCGGTCGGGTAACAACGCATCTTTTGCGCAACGCCTATCTTGCACACGGTCTCTAGTGCCGCTAGTGCTCAGTCTAAACATAGTGTGTGCTGTACGTGCGGGGCTTGATCTTGCCACGGCAAAAAACATTCGGGGCGGCTGGCGGCGCGCGCCGGCACCAGATGAGACGATAAATCAGTCAGGTTTCGTGTCCAATTGACTGGTACGCACGTTCATTACGCCAAGTATCTCTCGTGCTACACTACAGGTTATAGCTACTGCGAGCGTTACAAAATCGACGCGGGGCAGTCTAAGGCCTAATTGCCCTTCTTTCTGTGGCAAATTTCTTCGACATCCTCAAGAGAGACTCGTCGCCCCCATCTATGGTAGCGATAGTACGAGAATAATCCACGGCGTGTAATTAAACAAATTCAAAATGGTTTTTGACAAAAAGAACGAACGCGCCAACCAAAACAATTCCAATTACGACCATTGGAGTTATTCTCGCCCTACGTGCATAATCCAAAAGTTTGTCCAAGCGCCACAACTCCTGAATTGACCGATAACACCCCGTTTTTACATAACCATGGAAATGTTTGAAATGCGGGAGCAGCGTATTCGTTCTAATGGCCGCACAGGTGGCGCTGTTTCGCGCTTCGCGCGGATATCTGCTGCCGAGGAACGTCTATTTCTGACACATCACTGTTGTCTGGAACCTCCACTATTTGCTCCAACGTTTCAATCATTGGTAGCATGGGTGCCGCGGTACCTTCTACCCTATCGTCCTGTTATGGGAGACTAGCATTTCGACACGAATTTCCAACATGAGTGGTATTCCATAGAATATGAGCACCATTCGGAGCTCCACTAACAAGACTATTTACAAATTTGCTTACGACAGTGTGGGAGACCGATGCGATGTTGTTGAAAACTTATTGAGTTTTCTCTTTCCTGACCAGAAACTTTACCACCAACACAACCGCAGAAGTATGGTGCGGTTGCGACGTTCGTCAGCTTAGAATTTCGGCTTTTTCCTTTTCTGTCAGCATCACGATCGCGTACCTCATATCATGACGACTGTCTGCCTAGGAAATCTGGTAATTTCGCCTCTCACTTTACGCCATTAAACAAGAGTTCAGCTGAACTTTTCTCCCTTAGTTAATGATGGTCAATGGCACGGTATTTCGTCACATACTTTCCTGAGTTCGCGCTTTTCCAGTCTAAGCCTTCTGCTGAGCGATACGATTCTCTTCATCAAGCGACTTATCTGGCTTCTACCTCGCCATTTTGCTGCGCCCATTTTGCAGTAACCTTGAGGGCCGTGCATCCTATTTGATCACAATACTCCTGGAACTCTTCAGAACGAGAAACTGTGGTCCGCGTTAAANAAGATATATCTTAACTACATACTCATAATATCGTTATTAGTGTAATTAATTGTGCCATTCAATGTGATCATGTGAGCTTTCCATTGCGTTGAGTGAGTAGATACGGGTTTTCATGTTCAAGTGCGTGAGAATGGGTTTGTACGCCGTATCATAATCATGTGACGTGTATGCATGTAGGCCTAGCCGCCTACCGTTGTACGTGTTAACTGTATGTAGATGTAGGCGCCTACGGATGAGCTTTCTAGAAATAGGAAGATATTTCAGGAGGCAGCCAGTGATGATAGGGAGAAGATAGCAGGATCAGGAAAAGGATTACAGGAAAGCTGGGAAGAAAATGAACAGGAAAATGGACAGAGATGCCACACACACCCGCCCCACGCTGGAGTAAGCCGGAAAGCGTACAGAGAGACTGGGGACGTCCGACCAGACCGTATAGCAGCATTTTGGAAGCAGAGAACGGCAGCAGGAATACTGATTTCGCACCTGCTGAGGAAAAAGAAATTTTACAGGCACCTGAAAGAGATACGGCTATGGTTAGGGATATGCCGTATACAAGGAGGGAGTCGATGCAGGACCTGCCATTAGCACGTGAGAGGAGTCCGTGGCGCAGTATACCTGTAAAAGAACGAAAGCCTCCAAGCTTTAGACGGGGAGATGGAATTGCCTTAAAGCACTTCCTGATAAAGTTTGAGATGACGGCTAACTACAATCAGTGGCCAGAGAATAGATGGGGAGTTCAGTTAGGATTATGCTTGGAAGGTGAGGCTCTGGAGGTAGTGACAGAGATGCCACGATCACAGCGTGCTGACTACGACCAGATGGTTGCCTGTTTGCAACGCAGGTTCGATCCGGTAGAGCGCATCCACGTTTATCGGAGTGAGCTACGCCGTAGGAGCAGGAGGCATGATGAGACGGCGAGGAATACGGCGCGGTCATGCGGCAGTTATTTACGCAGGCATACCCTGGCATGATAGGTCATCAGACGGAGCAGATCCTGATAGATAAATACCTGGACGGAATAGGAGATGTAGAGACACAACGTTACGCACTCTTGCAAGGGCCACGCACGCTAGACGAGGCGGTAACTCGGGTGGCACAGTTTGAGGCAGTTACAAGGGAGACCGTAAATCG